TCTCTCTCTCTCTCTCGTCTCTCTCTCTCTCTCTCTCTCTCTCTCTCTCTCTCTCTCTCTCTCTCTCTCTCTCTCTCTCTCTCTCTCTCTCTCTCTCTCTCTCTCTCTCTCTCTCTCTCTCTCTCTCTCTCTCTCTCTCTCTCTCTCTCTCTCGCAAAGCACTAATACGGCTCTCACCCTCCTACAAGAGGATTTTCCCCTTTCACGAGCGCCCTGGGTGGCCAGACCCCTTGTTGGTCGTCGGTCGGCCATGTAACCTCGGCCCCGTCCCAAGTGGGCAAAATTGGAGGGCAGCCAACGCCGGCCGCCGCCACCACCATCTGGGCCGTTCAGTATCCTGTTGCTTCCAAGCCGCCCCAGCCAGCACGACGGGTGCTATCAGCCGGCAGTATTGCCGGTATCATCATCGGTATCCTCGCGATACTCTTCTGCCTTGTCCTCGTGTGGTTCTTCGTCTGGCGCAAGCGCAAAGCAGCCTTCCGTCAGGGCCTGAACTCACAGTACCCGCGAAGCGAAGGCACAGCCATGACGGCAATCATTCGGGATAAGAATCAGAGATCGAATCCCATCGGAAGCACGGCCGAAAACTCGCAATCAAGCTTAACGCCCATGGGCCCATTCACGGCGCCGCAGCGGCAGCAACGGAAACAAGAAAAGAAGAAGAAGAAGGCATCCCGTACAGCTCCACCTATAGCTCCATTCGTAGCTCCACTTCCCTCAAGTCATGAAGAAGTCATGGGAGATCCGTACCACCGCCATCTCATGAAGGCCGCCAAAGCCTCTCGGAGCCGAAAGCCGTTTGCGGACCAGGAGGAGTTTTACGGCCTCGAATCTGACCCAGCTTGGCTCGATGGCAGCAACAATGATGGCGGCACAAGCGGTCCCCTGGCCTCCCCGAAACCACCGCCACTAGCACTGCCGATTTCTAGGCCAGCGCCAGACTCAGAGGAGTACTACAACATCGACCTTGTCTTGGGCCCCATCGGCAGCCCCACCAAGAGCGATCACGGCAGCGACAAGAGTGACCACGGAAGCACGGTCGGAGGCGCGAGGCTGCCTGACGTCGTCTCATCGACAAAGGGCAAAGGCAAGGGCAGTACCCCCAACCCCAGATATGTGACCCTGCCACCTCGCCTAGGGCCGCCGCCACCACGTCCGCTGCCTCCGGTTCCCACCCCATCGCCACGGCCTCCAAAGGCACAGCTCGCCGAAGCAGCCGAAGGGAGCGCGGGAGCCGCGGCCCCTCTAGTGAGTGACTTTTGTCCGGATAACGGTTTCGGAGACGAGATTATGCTCTTCCCTCTTCCGCCAGCGGCCATGCGAGATGGTCAACAGCAGCAACACCAACGACAAAAGTCTCGACAGAAAGATGAACCGCAATTCCCACAAAGGCCACAGGAGCTGCCGCTTCAGCAACAGCATCTCCAACAACAGCCACAATTGCAGGTTCATCAACCGCAGCCTTCACAAGAGCCGCAGGAGCTGCCCCTACAACAGCAGAATCCCCAGCAAGGCAAGCCACAGGAGCAAAATAGACCGCAGCAGCAACAATATGAAGCGCAGACGCAGCAACATACGCAGGGGCAGCAACAAACGCCACAGCTGCAAGAGCAACAGATGCAGGGGCAGCAACAAATGCCACAGATGCAGGGGCAGCAACAAATGCCACAGATGCAGGGGCAGCAACAAATGCCACAGCTGCAAAAGCAGCAAACGCAGGGGCAGCAGCAAATGCCACAGCTGCAAAAGCAGCAGACGCAGGGGCAGCAACAGAAGCCACAGTTGCAGAAGCAGCAGAAACCGCGATTCTGGCGCAAGCGGTCGCCACCGCCAGAGTCATCACAGAGACGCTCCGGCTACGACCCACGGCCGCTGCGCCACCGCCAACTGCAGGGACCAATGCCCGAGCGACAGGGATCCTACTTCGACCCTTAGCCGATGGGATACCCACTGCCATTCAGCCAAACCTTATCTGGCTGCACATCGACTGCTATAGAGATGAGGATTTGCTCGACGCCCTGTACCCTTTGTCATCTCAAATTTATGCCACTGTTTGTGTTTTTCTGTTCGTGTTTTTCTGTTTGTGTTTTTCTGTTCGTGTTTCTCTGTTCCTCTGTTCATGTTTCGCTGTTCGTGCAAGTCATTTGATTACATAAAGGCCACGCGGTTACGTGACCCCGCGTGCATCGCGCCCGGCCCTTTGGGCCAAGTCCCTCTCTGAATACCATCTTTTTTTGGACTTGCAGAACGCTATTAATTGGTAGCCTTGACTACTATAGCTAAAAATGGTCGTCGTACAGCGACTGGTTTGCGTGGGCCTCCCGATCGCACATGCACGTTTTCGGTGTGGGTGCGTCAACAATTGAATCCGGATTGAACATGATATTTGTGACGGGGGCAACGTGGATTTCAATCGGGCATATGGAAAAGTAGCAAGACCTTCCTGAACCATTCGGGGGCCCGATCGCCGGCACCGACCGGTGCAGCACCGGCCGGTGTGGGGCCTCGGGATTTGTGGGGCTGCCAATACACATTTACACCAACCATAGCCATGCAGTGACCAAATGAATCTTTGTGATGAAATAAACAACGCCACCGGCCAGAGCCCAAAAAAAGGTATAAAAAAAAAGCCTGCAAGCCAGAGGAGAATGTGCACAACTCAAGATAAAACCAAGGACGGCACAACTCAAGATAAAAACAAGGACGGCACAACCCTCACAAAGGCATGACCCCCTGCTGCAGCAGCTTCAGCGCGTCCTCGTACCTCCCGGGGCTGTGGTCCGTGAGCATGGTGCCGGCGAAGCGCACCTCGCGGAACCTCGTCTCCACGTCGCGCACGTACTTGAGCACCACGCGCCGCGCGGGCCTGCCCGAGTAGAAGCCCGCCGC